AGAAAGAAAGAAAGAAAGAAAGAAAGAAAGGAAGGAAGGAAGGAAGGAAGGAAGGAAGGAAGGAAGGAAGGAAGGAAAGAAGGAAGGAAGGAAGAAAGAAAGAGGGAGGGAGGAAGGGAGGGAGAGAGGGAGAGAGAGAGGGAGGGAGAGAAATGCTGGGCTGAAACCAGGAAATCTTCTGGGGAGCTAGCTGTGTTCATTGCAGCTTACTGGGGAGTTTGGGGTTGTTACAATGGACCCAGATCCCTCTTTCCCTGATCTTAGCCATGTTAGGGTGGTTCCTTTCCCCTGCCTTCAAAGAGGCAACAACAGTAACAGAAATGGTAGGAGTAAGAAAGGGCACCACAGGGTCAGGGATTTAGCTCAGTGGTTTCGCCGCCTGCTGCACAAGCGCAAGAACCCGAGTTCGATCCCCAGTACCAAAAAAAAAAAAGAAAGGGCACCACAGCTGATAACCAAACTGCACTCCTGTCCAAAGGGTCAGGAGGAGGTGGCTTCTAAATAACCATGGAGGACACTGAGGGCATGTTGCCCCATCCATTGAGGGGGAGGGTAACAAAGAGCTAAGGGAAGTAAAGGTGGGGGCATGACAGCCATTGACCAAATATTCCTCTCTCTGACTGGTACAGGAAAGGGGGAAAGTCAGGCCCTTTGCTCTGTCCCATTTCACCATGACCTGCTCCACAGCCCTTTGCAGTTATAATCCAGCAGCCCAGGAAGTACTCATGCTCCTGCAGATGTATGCACATAGTATGGATTCTGAGGATGTTCAGAATCCAAAAGTTTTAAGGTCTTGGCTGCATCCTTCAAGATTTCAAAGAAAACTTTGAGGCCAGGCAGAAGTTTGTTGCAGGTCCAAGTCCCTGTGGGGAGTCCCCAGTATGGCAATGCTTAATGGGGCGGAGGGGTTGGAACCAAAGCCGGGGTCCCAGAGAAAACAGCAGTGTGACACAGCAGTCTTGGAAAGCAGCAGACATCGGCCCATGGGCCAGCAAAGTTGTAAGCCTTGGGGACCCACACTTTGCCTCATTGTGCACAAAGGGTAAACTTGAAGATTTAGAATTTAATGTTGACCCTGTTGGGTTTTGATCTTGCTTTGAGCCAATTACTTTCAATTTACCTATTCCTCCCTTTTGGAATAGCAATGTTTACTCTCTTGCTGTCCTGCCATTGTATCTTGTAAATGTAGACTTAATTTTTATTGTTGTAATTTTATTTTTTAATTTCTGTCTTTGTTATTGCTATCTTATAGGGACTCAAAGCTGAAAGCATTTGCCTCAAGTTTTAGAGGAGACTTTGGGCTTGGACTTTTGAATGATATGGGAATGTTAAGATTTTGGGGACTACTGGGGATGGAAATTCATTTTACACTGTGAGAGTCTCAACCTTGGCACCAGGGATGGAATGCTACGGTTTGGATATTGTTTGTCCCCACAAAGTTTCTTATGTTGAAAGTTTGGTCCTTAGAGTGGCAATGGGAGGTGGTGAACCTTTAAAAGGCAGAGCTGGCAGGAGGTCCTTAGATCATCAGAGGTGTGTCTTTGGAAAGGATTGTGGGAAGCCAGCCTCTCTCGAGTTCCTATTCTTTGAAATGTGATCTTTGCCTCCTGCATACATTTCTACTGTCCACTGGCAAAGCTGAGCTGATCCTGGTTCTATGCCTTTGAATCTCCAGAATGGTAAGCTAAATAAATCCCTTTTCTTTATAAAGTTAGCCTGCCTCCAAACAAGGTGCTCATTTCAACTTCTACAGCTTCTCCCCACAGTCAGTTGTGAGGAACATGGAAGGATAGTGTCTAAAGCTGGGTCTGATGTCCTGGTCTGGGTAGCCTGTCTGCTCTTGGCATTTCCTGCCACAGCCACTGGTAAGACACATGCACTGGAATGGCAAGGGTGGGAGCTTCTGGGTCAGTTAGAGGATTAGGTGGCCAGGGACAAGAGATGTAGAGACAGGGAGGGGTAGGCAGTTTACTCATGGAAGAGGTCTATTTTGGAGGAATGACAAGGATTGCACATCCTCTCTGGGCCAGGGCTCTGCCTTTGCTATCTGTGTGATCCCCAGAGCAGCCCTGCTCGGGACATAATTGTCCTTATTTTTTAAGAGCATCTGGTATGGTAAGATAAGCAGATATGCAAAGGACTGCCACAATGAAAGAAGTATACTCACACTATCCTGGAAACAGGAGGTACATCGTCATACCTTACAGGGCCACAGAGGGAAAGCCACCAGGTAGCACTGGGAACAAGGGGGAAATGTGAGTAGAAGTGTTTATTGTTGTTTTGATATAGGGGGAACAGTTGTAACTCCCAAATCTGCTAAATATTCGAAATGATAGTTCATGTTCTCTAAAATCAAAGAACGAATTCTAGGAATAATGGAGGTTAAGAGTAGGAAAAACTTTTTTTTTTGGTACTGGGGATTGAACTAGGGACCTTCTGCTTGCAAGGCAGGTGGCAGAACCACTGAGCTAAATCCCCGGCCCCTGGAAAAACTTATTGAGAGAAACATAGCTTCTGTCTAAGACAAAAGAAGACCAGAAAGGGGGTTGCCCACCCATCCTGCTTCTTAAAGGTGTTTCATGGGACAAAGCCATGAGGTGAGGTGGGTACAAAGTGGGACAAAACTATTGTCAATTAGTAAGATTACGAGTACAGTCACTTAGGTAATGTTGGTCCAATGGGAAATCACTAGGTGGACATTGTTATAAAGAATCTGAAAGGATCGCCGAAAGGAAAGGGCACACATATGTTCAAGCAAGCTTTATTGGGAAGGCAGTCTGCAGCCTACTGGGACTGACTCGGAAAATGGAGATCAGCCTTTGCATGAGCTGAGCTGGAGGCTTATATGGGGGTTTTGCATGTGGGAGAGCATGTAGTCCTTTGATGGGGGTGGGCGATTGCGGATAGGGCATATAGCAACAAATTCTGGTTGGGGGATGGAGAAACAGGCTCCAGGAAGTCCCTATCTCATGGGAATATCTGGTGGGATGGAGTGACAAGCTCTAGGAAGTCCCTGTCTTGTGGGGACATTTGGTAGGACAGAGTGACAAGCTCCAGGAGGTCCCTATCTTAAGGGAACATTTGGCGGGATGAAGTGACAAGCTCCAGGAGGTCATTAACTAGGAGGGGTCAAGCCTTAGTTATGTAGAAAGTCCCTATTCGCAGCTAGGGAGGAGGAGAAGGGGGAGGGAGCTTGTTCTGTGGGGGCTTTGGAATACCTAACAGAATCCACTTGTCAAAGTAGGTTTTTGAAAGGAAAGTTTATTTTAGTGGACAGGGACAAAAATCAGAAGATTCTAGCAGCTAGCTGGGAAAAGCCAAATTTATCACATCCATGTGTGGATGTACCGACATTGGGAGAGAGATAGTGGCAGCTAGCTGGGAGAGATTTCATTCTTGAATGGATGGGCTAACACGGAGAGAGAGGTATTAGCAATTAACTGGAAAAGGAATTAGACTTATATAGGTTTTGAAGGGACTAAGGAATCTGGGGTGAAATATTTGACTCGGATGCCCAAGGATAGTCTGTTCAGGTGTGTGGACAATTACTGAAGTTTTCGGTGCCAGGGGGGTTGTATACTTTCTTTTGAGTCCATTTGCTCTATTTACTGAGAAGCTGCTGTTGCTTGCTAAAAGCAGCCTGTTTGCTTTGTCTTGTTTCTTTGTAAAGGACTCACTTACTTAAGTCAGGACTGACAGACGTAAGGTGGGACAAAACTGATCAACCAATAAGATTACAAGTATAGTCACTTAGGTAATATTGATTAAATGGGGATCAGATGAGAAAGCAAATCAAGGAACAAACATACAAGGAAAGAACAAGGATTTTTGGTAAGGGATAGGTCAGGGTCCTTTCCTGAAAGGGATGATTTAAGGTCTTGGTCCCCCACCCAGGAGACTGGTACCTATTTAGAATATCAATCACTGGTATTTATCTCTAGAGGAAGTACGTGGGTGTAGTAGTTTCTCTCTTTTTATAATGCTAACCAGTGAATATGCCTCAATTGTTTTTCTATGCTGAGGGCCCAGCTTTGTCTAACTACTTTATAGTAATTTCTAACTAATTTAGCTAACTGCAATATTTCCCCCTCTGAAGAAGTATCCCTAGCTGTGGCTAGAAGAGAAAGGGCATAGTTTTTTTATTATCTAACTGCTTTGGGCTGAGAAGGGTTGGCTGAGGGAGACCGAAGTTAGGGGTCCTCTCCAGAAAGCTAACTTAATAGGCCCTAGCTAGAAGTTGAATTGTAGTTTAGCAGTTATTAACTTTTTACAAGGTCAATCTGGTAGATCCTGGTAAAAGGAGTCTAGCATGTGCAGTGAGCTTAATTATTATAATTTTACCTGGATATCAAGTGCTTTAAAATATTAAGTATAGTTAGAGGGCTGTTATTTTTTTTACCAACTCTGGTTGTTCTAAAAGTTTAATTCCAGTAGAATGTTAACAGACAACAGTTACACATTATATAAACTTAAGATCAAGAGTCACACATAGAGGAGCTGGGGATTTAGCTCAGTGGTTTGGCTACCTGCTGTGAAAGGACCCGAATTCAATCCCTGGTACCAAAAAAAAAAAAGTCACACATAGTATTTTAGCATGATGATCATGATGACATTGTCTCTATAACACACTTAAATGTCCATCTTAGTATGAAATAGTCTTTTTTAGTCAAACACTTCCATCTGATTATAAGACATTAAATGCCACAAAGAAAATCTTATTTGGGCCGGGGATTTAGCTCAGTGGTTTCGTCGCCTGCTGCACAAGTGCAAAGACCCAAGTTTGATCCCTGGTACCAAAAAAAACACAGAAAATCTTATTTAATTTGTTATCCTTTAATAAGATGCCATCTAAAGAGAATGTACATATTGCTCTATAAATGTACCTTAGAAGTTTATAATGCCTAGCCCTTAATTTTATTGTGTGACATTGTTTGGACTGTTTGGCATCTGAGCATCCCTAAGCATGGTGACACATATAACATATACATCATGTAAGTTTTTAAGAAAAACTATTATTTGACAGGTTATCTCATGCTGGCTTGACATCCACTCTTATCACAAGTAGCTAGAGCCCAAGAGAAAGGCAGGTACCTGAGTCAAAAAAGATTATTAGGATATACAATGTTAGAACACTTGTACTCCCAGGAGGCATGAATCTATTTAGTCATGACATCATTTTGATCATCTGGCAACCTGGGAGAAGCATATCTTTAATGACATTTATCTATAAACCAACTTAAGTTTAAAAATCCAAAAGGGCAAAAAAGAAGAAAAAAATGTTGAGCTCAAACAAAACAGCTTGTAACAAAACAATGTTGAAACAAATTGGACAGACACACACATAAGACGGCTTATTTATATACCAGAGTGCACTCAGATGTATTTGCCCAAGTTAAATTATAATAATCCTTTTATAATTTTTAGGTTTGCAACTATAAATAAGACTAGTCAGAACTTTTGTAGGTCAATTAACAAAGATCTCTTATAAGAATCAGAAGGAGGGCTAGGGATTTAGCTCAGAGCCATAGTGCCTGCCTGGCAAGCACAAGGTCCTGAGTTCAATCCCTGGTACCAAAACAAAACCAAAAAAGAAAAAAAAATCAAAAACAAACAAACGAAAGAATCAGAAAGACTAAAAATCCTTTACACCTGTGAAACCAAAGGTAGTTTTTGATTGGAATATCTAGTTATACAGGTTTTTCATTGTTGCTTTGATAGCCACAGTTGTTGAATAGTCACAGCTGATAGTCAAAACTGCTGTTTTGATAGCCACATGCAGAGATACCCACATGATGAGAGAGGCAGTCCTCTGGGGACTGGGGCCATGCCTATTCTTTAACACCTGTTTTTGCTTAAAACTGTTATTAAACTCATAAGGTTCCCTAGGAATGTTTTGTTTTATCAATGAACCTGTCTCTGGTATAAGAACCAGTCAGTATTATTCTTGAGGGAAGTAAGACGAGTTAATCTCCAATTTTGCCTATGGACAGAAAGCCAGATAAATTTGAACCTTTATTTTTTGAAAGTTTTAGGATTAAACTTAGGCCAGTTTTTTAATATGGTCCAGTGATAAATAAAGGTCAGCTTTACTCTTGGAAGGGTTCCAGGGAGAGGAAACTCACCATTCTGGAAACTCTGTCTTGAAATCCAGCAGCCACAGAGAAGGGAAGTGCCTTGAACCAAACACTATTGAGAACTGTGTTATTTCTCAGGGGCAGGGCAGTGGAAAAGAAATAGAAGAGTGACTTTAAGTATGGGACAAGAACTAAATCTTAACCATCTCAGGTGCAGAAAGACAATTAAGATCAAGAGCTTTCCCAGAATAGGTCTGTAATCCTTAGTAAAACATGTCTCCAGAGACAAAAGCTATGATTGACTCCAACTGCCTTGCCAAGCAGAAAATTAAACCAATAATCAAAGAACCTGAATGGCTGCTCTTTTTTTTTTTTTTTTGGTATGTGGGCGGGGGGGGCGGTGTCAAACTTGGGTCCTTGCGCTTGCGCAGCAGGCGAAACCACTGAGCTAAATCCCCTGCCTGGCTGCTCTTTTTTGTTTTTTGCCTCTTGAAAGGGAGTGAGAAAGAATGAAAGTGTTCTAACTATATTGTTTAAGGTTTACCTTTTTAAGTAAATTACTCTGAATCTGTAAAATCTAACTTATGACTTAAATGCCCTACAGGCTGTTGAGCAGGTCCCCAATCTTGTATAAACACTCCCAAAGCCATACCTCACCTTTTAATATACAAACTGAAATGGTGTCCTATCGGCAAGCTCAGTGTTGGGGCACTTAGAAATGCTTGTTTAAGCTTCTGGAATGCAGTCTTGGAATCAGATTCCCAGGTTAAAATATGGATATCTGTCTTTTG